CGACACGACATGTCGATGCTGGCTGAGCGTGAGTGTGGGGCACGGAGGCCCGACCAGGGCGCGAGGGTGAAGGTCCAGGTGGCGTGCCGGACCGGACCCGGCGGCAGGGTCTGCGAGTCGCTAGCGCTGAGCGAGGGGGAGGATCCGCGGGCCGGAGCCCTGGGAAGCCGGGTTCGGTTGGCCCTGCCTGCCGCGGAGATTTCCCAGCCCAGCCTTCTCCAGAAGTTAGCTGCGGGTCTGCTGGTGAAAGAGACCGCGAGGGTCACGTTCAGAGCTGGGCGCGCGCGCTGGGGGTGTGAACGAGCCACCAGGACACGGGTCCTGGGGACCCCGACTGGTTCTTCTCGCTTCCCTGGAACGTCAGCGTCCTCGGGTTGGAAAGAGATGAGGCCGGCCGACTCTCTTCAGACATCGACGGCCTGTTCTCGACGATGTATGCAACCCAGAAATGGAAAAGCGGACAGATTAGAAGCATCAAAGGCAGGAAGAAGCCTTTTTTTAGGGGGTGCAAGGCTAAGTAAGACTGTGGCGGTGTTAAACTTAACTGAGATGTCTCATCCTGCCTCAGTTCGCCTCTGACATTTACCGCCACTTTGTGAAATTCATTGATTCCCTTTCTGGAGCGGCTGCGGAACTTCCGAATGGTACCTGTAGCTACGGTTGCCTGCCACCAGAGGGCAGTGGTGCTTTGGTCATAACTTTGGAAGTGGGTAGTGAGCCAGGAACCGAAAGTGTTTACTTAATACGTAGACCAACAGCAACTACGCTGAGATTTTGTGACATAAATGCTGTCAGCATTCTTTTAACTAAGGGAATGGAGGGCTGTGAGCACAAAAGGAAATGGATTAGACTCCACTCCAGCTTACAGGAGCAGGAATTAAGGTTCAGAGGAAAATGATTCACCCCAGGTCATTGAGCTAGAAATGGACAAAATTGACCTAGTTGTCTCTCTAGCTTTACATTGTTGCTACTAGGACCAGCAGTTTTCTACTGTATCGAAATAGGGACTCATAGAATTGAATATGTTTTAGACGGTGAGCTTAGAGCCTAGATCTTTGAGGTCTCTTCTGGTTTTAATATTCTTTGATATGTGCTTAATTCAGTAGGTACTAGGGAACATTGGCCCTGGCTCTGCTTAATTCATTTGTATCTCTTTCCGTGATTAGTTTCTGTGTGGTATTTAAAAACTTCATTTATTATCTTTAGCGGTAGGTTGTCTTAAAAAATCAGTGAGATGGTGAATGTGGAAATAGTTTGAAGTATGAAGTGGTATACAGGTGTAAAGTCTATTTGTAGACATCACTAATTACAATTGCATGATTTTAAGGGAATACTTTCAGTTCTCTCTACACCATACCTCCAAATGTTCTTCCTTCCTGATTCAGTTTGGAAGAT